ACCAAAAGACAAAGAGGATATGATGCTATACATTACAACAACCAAGAACGTTGTCAGCACAGCAATTGTGGTTGAGAGAGAAGAACCCGGACACACATACAAAATGCAAAGATCAGTCTATTACATAAGCGAAGTACTAACAGAATCAAAAGTGAGATACCCACACGTGCAAAAACTACTTTATGCAGTGTTGATATCATCAAGAACGCTGAGACATTATTTCCATGAACACAAGATTACAGTGGTAACCAATTTTCCACTTCAAGACATTCTACGCAACAAAGATGCAACAGGTCGGATATCAAAATGGGTAGTAGAACTCGGTGCTCTCAACCTAGACTTCAAACCAAGAACAACAATCAAATCTCAAGCATTATCCGACTTCATTGATGAATGGACAGAAATCAGTCAAAAAGAACCTGAACCAATACTTGATCATTGGAAAATGTATTTTGACGGTTCCCTAAAGTTAGGAGGAGCTAGAGCAGGAGTACTATTCATATCATCAGAAGGGAGACAGTTAAAATATGTGCTACAAATACTTTGGCAGGCAACTAACAATGAGGCAGAATACGAAGCATTAATACACGGTCTAAGAGTTGCAAGCTCGCTTGGGATCAAAAGACTACTTGTCTACGGTGATTCAGCTGTAGTAATCAATCAAGTCAACAAGGATTGGGATTGTACAAAAGATAATATGGACGCGTACTGTGCAGAAGTCAGAAAATTGGAGAAAAATTTCTAAGGGCTCGAAATCCATCATGTACTAAGATATTCCAACGTTACAGCAGATGTGTTAGCCAAATTAGGATCAGATAGAGCAAAAGTACCACCCGATATATTTGTGGAAAAACTCATAGCCCCATCCATCAAACAACTTGGAAACAAAGAAAAAAAGAAGGAGACAACAGATCCAATGGAAATAGATCAAGCAGAAGAACCAGACCAGTCAAGACAAATCATGGTCATACAAAGTGATTGGAGACAAACATACATTGATTTTATCAAAGAGAAGAAACAACCCGAAGACAAAGCAGAAGCAACTCGGGTTGTACGAAGAAGCAAAAACTACGTTCTGGTGGGGGATAAACTATACAAAAGAGCAACATCATCAGGAGTACTGCTTAAATGTGTTCCGACAGATAAAGGAAAGGAAATCTTGGACGAAATCCACTCAGGATGCTGTGGAAATCATGCAGCCTCTAGGACACTAGTCGGCAAAGCATTCAGAACCGGTTTCTATTGGCCAACAGCACTCAAAGATGCGTAAAGAGCTCGTCGAAACATGCAAGAATTGCCAAATGTTTGCTAGGCAATCACATGTGCCGCTCACAACTTAATATGCATACCGCTTGGCTTGGCTTCTCATCTTGTCAATGGGATCAAGTCGGACCACTCAAAAAAAGCAAAAGGGGCTTCAATACATATTTGTGGCAATCGACAAATTTACAAAGTGGATTGAATACAAACCTTTGGTCAAATACAAATCAAGGAAAAAGGCGGTGGAATTCATACAAGACATCATGCATAGGTTCGGCATGCCCAATGTAATAATCACGGATCTTGGTTCACCATTTACAAAGAAGAGAATTCCAATACTGGGCAAGAGATTGTGGGATAGAAATCGACTTTGCGTCAGTAGCACACCCGCAGGCCAATGGACAAGTCGAAAGAGCAAATGGACTCATATTACAAGGTTTAAAACCAAGATTATATGAAGATTTGAAAGATTATGGTGGAAAATGGATTGACGAATTACCAAAAGTGGTATGGGGTCTAAGAACCTAGATCAGCAGAGCAACTGGATACTCACCGTTCTTTCTGGTCTACGGATCAGAGGCGGTACTACCAGCCGACTTAATATGGCTATCTCCAAGAATAGAACAATATGAAGAAGGCGAAGCAGAAGAAACAAGGCGGTTAGAAATTGATTCAAAAGAAGAAATACCTATAAAGAACACTTGGCATATCAGCCAGCTCAAAAGATTCTACAATTAAGTACAATAGATTGTACTCAAGTTTCAAGAGAAATAAAACAGAGATTATTCAAGAAGAATAACTTCAAATATGAGCCCTGTCCAATAGACAGAACCAACCCGTAATTAGGTTGGGGAAAAAGGGGCTTCCCTGTTAATAGCCAACCCAAAAACGGTTGCGCTACATGGGCAATCTTGTCACTCAACCATATGGAGATGGTCCGACTGACGGCCAACGACCAAATAGCTTCTTGGGTAAGGAAACCCAAGCTAGCATTTGTCACTCTACCATAAAGAGATGGTACGACTGACAGCCCTATCCAACGGATAGAACCAACCCGTAATCAGGTTGGGGAAAAAGGGGCAGCCCTGCAAACAGCTCAACCCGGAAACGGTTGTTGCTATACGGGCGCAATCGCTTACCCCAAGAGCTGGTACGATTGCTTACTTACCCTGCAAACAGCCAACCCAGAAACGGTTGTGCTATACGGGTCCGGTCACCTACCCCAAGAGTGGTACGATCGAATACTTCGCCCAAGAAGTGGCACAAGCACTCCAACAACTCGGTCGCCTACCCCAAGAGTGGTACGATCGACTACTTCACCCAAGAAGCTGCACAAGCACTCCAACAGCTCGGTCGCCTACCCCAAGAGTGGTACGATCGAATACTTCGCCCAAGAAGCGGCACAAACACTCCAACAACTCGGTCGCCTACCCCAAGAGTGGTACGATCGACTACTTCACCCAAGAAACGACACAAGCACTCCAACAACTCGGTCGCCTACCCCAAGAGTGGTACGATCGACTACTTCGCCCAAGAAGCAGCACAAGCACTCCAACAACTCGGTCGCCTACCCCAAGAGTGGTACGATCGACTACTTCACCCAAGAAATGGCACAAGCTCTCCAACAGCTCGGTCGCCTACCCCAAGAGTGGTACGATCAACTACTTCGCCCAGAGAGGGACACAATCACTAAAACAACTTGGTCGCCTACCCCAAGAGCGGTACGATCGACTACTTCGACCAGAGAAGAGCCCAAGCACTCCAACAACTCGGTCGCCCACCCCAAGAGTGGTACGATCGACTACTTCGCCCAAGAAGCGGCATAAGCACTCCAACAACTCGGTTACGCCTACCCCAAGAGTGGTACGATCGACTACTTCCCCAAGAAACGGCACAAGCACTCCAACAACTCGGTCGCCTACCCCAAGAGTGGTACGATCGACTACTTCGCCCAAGAAGCAAAGACAAGCACTCCAACAGCTCGGTCGCCTACCCCAAGAGTGGTACGATCGACTACTTCGCCCAAGAAGCGGCACAAGCACTCCAACAACTCGGTCGCCTACCCCAAGAGTGGTACGATCGACTACTTCGCCCAAGAAACGGCACAAGCACTCCAACAACTCGGTCGCCTACCCCAAGAGTGGTACGATCGACTACTTCGCCCAAGAAGCGGCACAAGCACTCCAACAACTTGGCCGCCTACCCCAAGAGTGGTATGATCGACTACTTCGCCCAAGAAGCGGCACAAGCACTCCAACAGCTCGGTCGCCTACCCCAAGAGTGGTACGATCAACTACTTCGCCTAGAGAGGGACACAATCACTAAAACAACTCGGTCGCCTACCCCAAGAGCGGTACGATCGACTACTTCAACCAGAGAAGAGCACAAGCACTCCAACAACTCGGTCGCCCACCCCAAGAGTGGTATGATCGAATACTTCGCCCAAGGAGCGGCACAAACACTCCAACAGCTCGATCGCCTACCCCAAGAGCGGTACGATCGACTACTTCGACCAGAGAAGAGCACAAGCACTCCAACAACTCGGTCGCCCACCCCAAGAGTGGTATGATCGAATACTTCACCCAAGGAGCGGCACAAACACTCCAACAACTCGGTCGCCTACAACAAGAGCAGTATGATCGACTACATCGCCCAAGGAGGGGCACAAACACTCCAACAACTCAATCGCCTACCCCAAGAGCGATCACCAAGAAGAAACAAGCTATGGCAGAGCACGAAAAAGTCACAAGGAAAGACAGGGCGAAACTTGTCCATATTATTCAAAGACATCTAAGAAGAAAAGAAAGACAGGACGAAGCCTGCTCACATCTTAAAAATTCAGAGACAAAGTATATTACAAGGACATCAAAAGAAGGTTGACTTTTCACATCTGTTCAAGAAGACGGAAGAGAAGGAGGAAGTACATTCATTTGATCAAGAATTTGGTCTGATAGACCACTAAGCTATACTTTGGCCTCCTCCCAGTGTCTTGAAAACTCAGCCATTACAGAAGCTTCAGTAATTCGCTCAAAAGGAGCATCAGGGGCAACAACCCAGACATACGAAACCACATTTTTTATGCAACAGTAAAAGCCACCCTTCACAAAATCATAAAACCGGGAAAAAAGGACCGGTAATCCCTGCTCGGCAAAGACCTGAAGGAACAAGAAGAAACTCCCAGAACTCCACCATGAAGTACTCAGAGGCTTATCAATCTCAAGATCGCTGATACTAAGTCTTTTCAGTACTAGCAAGAACATGAAGTCTGACAGAACAACAATTTATAACGAGTTGTTTGCACGAGAGCCAGACAAAGCACTCGTAGACAGTCTCTCAAGACAACGTTCTACACATACCGAGTTGTTTACATGGCGCAAACGAAAGCCAGACAAAGCACTCCACCTATCAAAGAGTCATTTCAGGACAAATGGAAACAACTCATCTACTCAAAGCTATGGATACGTACCACGAAGCAACTGCTCGGAAGAAATCCTGATCACGCACACAATTCGTCTGACGAATAAGTAAAGCAGAGACATCCACACAGAGAAACAAAAGAAGCCACATCAAAAGAAAAGGAAAAGAGAAATTGGGGAAACAAAGTTTATGATGATCATAGAAGAACACGACTACTACATACATCAAATCACCAAGATAAATCTACGATCGGACAATCTGCCCTTCGATATCCTTTACACCAACATCAAAGCGAGGGCTAATGACAACGCATCCAGCCATCATCAGTTCCTCGCCAGAGACCCGCTACCCACAAATTCGACATCATCGTCATTTTCGACAGCAAGGGTGCCCCAGTCGACTTCGTCTTCGGCGCCGAGCGCCTCCCAATCAACCTCATCTTCACTGTCACTGCTAAGGATGATCAAATCCGCCCTTGTCGAAGTAGCGTCAGCAGCAGAGAGGGGGACAAGAGTGACCATAGGAGCAGTCAAGGTATCCTCCTTCTTCTACAGAGGAACAACCGGCGCTGATGTCCCAACAAGGGGAGCCTTCCCCACCACCGGAGGGGCTGGCAATGAAGGCAACGACGAAGACCTTCCGCTCGACGACGACGCCACGGCCGTCCTCGGAGAGCAAACAAGCGAAGAACGCGACACCTTACGGACACTCTGCCTATGGATGAACTTCTTCTTCGTCATTATGGCTATGGCGAAACAATTGCGGAGTGGCCAGTTAAATAGAGACCAAATCGCCATCCCATGCAGTTCAACAGCCTCCTCGAGATAAGGATGGAGTTAAAACTTTCTTCATAAAAGGTTAAGTGCGGAGTTAATTCCTTCATCAAAACCAATATGGCGATTCGGCTTCTACCGTCAACCACGCGACGATCCATTTACTGACACGGCTAAAAAGACGAAAGGCACAAATCTACACAATGGTACGATCCAACGGGCAGATTTCAGACTTATCCATTCAGCACCACGGCAGAGTTTTCAGATTACTACAAGAACAACCTGTCAACCATGAAGAAATGAAGGGCCACCTCGCAAGGAACAAAAGAACCCGGTTATTAAAGAAAGAACTCGGGAGCCTCATGAATAACCAGGATTACAGCAGAAAAATGAATGACAACTCTGAAGACAAGAATTCTTTACATTACAAATGGCTTCAAAAATAGAAGATTACACATCTTACAAGACCCAATGAACTCGGCACTACGACAAGCAAGGTAGCAAAAAGGAGCCCAGACACAACTAGGCTCTGGAACGACTACGTGCTCCAATTTGCTACTCGGTAGAACAAACCGCGCTCGGCTACACTGTTTTCTTCGAAGGACAGACGTAGTGCATCCAAGGCGAAAATCAGCAGCACAGCGGGATAACATAGACCAGGGGAAGTCGGCAGGAATCTGTCTACCCAAGCCCGTTGTGATGCAGGATCAGTTGTTGATCTGCACCGGACAGTCTCAAGACAGACGGCGAGGATCAACCCAGAACTGTCGGATGAAGGAATGAAGCCCACATCACAAGACTTCCTCCAACTACCACCACGTACTTCTAAGTACAATGCCGCTGCGGGATTAGTCTACCTCCAATCCCTATCACAAGACTTCCTCCAGCTACAACAAAATGTACAAGAACTATAAAATACGCCCGGGGGCTGCTCTACTTTACACACTATCATATTCATAACTACAGAAGACTTCAGAACAGGCAACAAAAGGCTCGATGAATCAAAGTAACACTCAGGAAGGGCATTTATAGGCAAAAGAAGCGGTGCACATGGACTAGGAGCACCAACAGAAGAAATCTAACAGAGGACACAATGAAAAGACAGAATTCAATGAAAGAGGACTCTTGCGTGAAAGAACGGCACTCAAGGACAAGCATATCCAAGAGAATATTTCACAAGCAACAATACAACCCGTGAAGACATGCATTGAATTCTCCAACAACCAGAATGACAACAGCAATAAGTAACCGAACAAACAACTCGGAGACATGTGAAGGATCACATACAAAATTACAGTGTCAAAGGATTACAGTTGAAAAAGAACTCGGATGGAGAAAAATTATAAATCTCATTGATCGAAGACAAATACAAAGGTTACAGACGGCCAAACAGGACCGGATAAACTCAGACATAAGATAGAGACAAGATTCTTAAATATTGCAAAAAGGAACCTAGTGGCGGCAGCAGCGACAGCTCGGACGCAGAAGAAAAGATAGAGCAGCATGATTATTACCAACCAAGCATAAGCCCAGGGGCTGCTCAACCTAACACACCAGCATATCTACGAATGAAGAAAGAATTGAAGAAGAATTTTCCTACTCAAGGCAGAACCACAACCAACAAAGAAGGTATTTATAGCAAACCAGAGGTAAACAAGGCTAAAGATCACAAGAAAGAGAGAGGAAAAGAACAAAAGAGCAAAGCAACAAAGGCGAATAGTACCCAAAAGCAAGATTCCTGACAAAAAGTAAAAGAAGACGCTCACTCATGGCTATACAAGACCCATCCGTGACCAGCAAAAGACAAAGATCAAAGGAGTACAAATCAAGACCCTTCTTCCAGCTTCTTTTCAATAGAAAAGAACCCGGAGAAGGCTCGGGGGCTGCAAGTACCTACCACAGAAAAAACATATTTTCAAAATTTTTGACCCTCCAGCTTTTTTAACCAAAAAACAGAAGGCTCGGGGGGCTACACTCAATGAGTGCAATTTTTGCAAAATTGCACTCATTGCACTCAAAGGAAAAAGAACCTGGAGGACATCAAGCAAAAGTGCACATCAGCCAAAAGAAGAATCAAAGAAGACCATATCAAGATTTCACTTCAAGAAGGACCCGGATCAAGACTACAACAACTCGACCCTTGAAGCTCAATCATGAAATGCTCGGGGGCTTGTCGATGGGGAACCCTACGGGCCCCCCATAGACCACACTGTAGGGAGGTAGGCCTTGGTAGCAAGGCCTACAGCCCAATCGCCAAGAAGAACACGGAGCAAAGTAACGTGCAAAACCAAAACTCCAACACAAACTATACAAGGAAAGGCGCCCGAAGCGTAGCTTAGGACTCTGACCTTGTATCCGAATAGGACACAAACAACGCCTCTTAGCGCCTGGACTATAAAGGGCTGGTGAGGGTACCCAATGTAAGAGGAGAGCGCATACCCGATACTCAAAGCAATACAACGCAAACAGGCTAACGCCAAAACTGGACGTAAGGTTATTACTCGACCAAGTCGAGGGCCTGAACTAGTATAAATCGTGAGTCTCTTTGCGTAACCGCCGAATTCCGCTATTCACCGAAGCCCGAACAACTGTCCCGGGTACCCCCGTGGCAGGCTATCGGTGGTAAAACATCGATAGTCGACTCTGCTTGTAGCTTGCTGTGTGAAAATGATATTCATTCACGTCATAACCGGTAAATGACTTGACCCTAACGGCATAGCCGTTTGAAACCTATCTCAGCTCATCACTTATAGGCGCATCAGTTTGGGCTTTCTGTTTGAACCAACAAATGAAATCAGGGCTCTCTGGTCCTGCACCCTATGAAAGAAGGGTATCATTTTCTTGCGGGGTAGGTTGCCTTGATCCATGCCAGGATTGACGAAGAAATTCCCTATACCAACGAGAAACAAGGGGGTTGGACGAATAAACAAGGACATACGGCGAAATGAAACAAGTTCGTTCAGAACTTACCCAATGAACGGCTGCACCTCAACAAGGTTGGTCAACACGTATAGCATGATACTGCACCACTCTTCATTTTTAAATTGCTTAGTGGTCGATGCACTTGCGCTTTCGAGTTGCCCTTGGAAAAGGCTGAGGTTCGATTCATTTTCGCCAGCATTGTAACGAGGGGGTGGATTATAAACACTAGGAAGGTTCTCAGTGTAGTATTTCTCTATGAAGTTCGACACTTCCTCTAGAATGTATGCCTCTACAATGGAAGCCTCAATTTTGGCTTTATTTCTACATTTTTTGCGAAGAGCCTTCAGACATCTCTCGATTGGATAGCACCAACGGGCCTGCACGACCCCCCCCCATCCATGCCTCATACGGAAGGTGCACAATCAAAATCTACAATGGCAAGAAGCAGCCGGGTGGAAAGATCTTCTCCAACTTACAGAGCAACACGGGTGCCGCTTTTTCCAAGTCATCAATGACGGTCTGAGAGAGCTCCTTGGCACAAAGCTGGCGGAATAAGTAGCTCAACTCTGCCAGCACTTGCCATACATGCTCCGGGGCATAGCCTCGAACCATCGCCGGAAGAAGCCGCTCAATCCATATGTGGTAGTCATGACTCTTCATCCCGTTGACTCGTAGAGTGCCTAAGTTCACTCCCCTCTTTAGATTCGCTGCATACCCATCAGGGAACATTAGCATCTGGATCCATTCAAGTATTTCCCTCTTTTGGTCCTTTTTCAAGACGAAATTGGCCTTAGGCCTTCTCCAGGTCTTGCCATGACTAGGAGGCTACATCTCTTGATTTGGTCTATCGCACAACGTTGCCAGGTCCACTCTAGCCTTAGGGTTGTCCTTAGACTTTTCAGTGTCCATGAGTGTTGCCCAAAGTGCCTCGGTGACATTCTTTTCAGTGTGCATTACATCAATGTTATGTGGCAGAAGAAGGTCATCGAAATAGGGGAGCCTCGTCATGCCCGAGATATGAGTCCACATATGTTGCTCACCATATCCCACAAAACCACCTTCTTCATTGGGCACAAGAGCATCTATCTGAGCATGAACCTCGGCACCAGTCATCATCCGCGGTGCAGGGTTTGTCACTTTGACACCTTTTGTAAAGTTCTTAATGTCTTGTCTGAATGGATGGTCAAGAGGTAGGAATTGACGATGTCTGTCGAACGACGAATACTTGCCACCCTTCTTCAACCAAATGAACCTCACGCCTTCCTTGCATATTGGGCATGGGAACTTCCTGTGAACACACCAGGCGCAGAATATCCCATACGCCAGGAAGTCATGCAGGGAGTAGTGGTACCAAACGTGCATTTTGAAGGTTGTCTTTGTAGCTCGATCGTATGTCCATACCCCTTTGTCCCAAGCACAGACCAATTCATCAAACACGGGCTCCATGAACACACCCATATTACTCCCTGGGTGTCTAGGAATTATCAACGACAAGAATACGTTATGTCGTTGAAAGGAGACACCGGGGGGAGATTAAGGGGGATAACGAAGATGGGCCAACATGTGTATGGGGCAGCCATCATTCCATAAGGATTGAACCCATCTATTGCCAGCGCGACACGTACATTACGAGCCTCATCTGCTTTGTCACGATGTTTGTCATTAAAGCGGATCCAAGCTTCACCATCGGATGGATGTACCATCTTGTCAGGATTGTACCGTTTGCCATTTTTGTGCCATGTCATCTGTTTTGCGGATTCCTCGGTCATGTATAGCCGTTGGATTCTCGGTAGGAACGGAAGGTACCGTAGGATTTTCACGGGGATCGTAAGTTGCCTCTTCTGGCCATCATCAGAGTCTACCTCTAGGTACCTAGAGGATTTATACTTTGGATAGAACTTTGCATGCTCGTGTTCTTTCCTAAATAGGGCGCACCCCTTCGGAGTTTCTATGACTCGTACATGCTCTTTGGCAGAATGTGGCCCTCCGGAAGCAGGGTGCCAATCACGGCAAACATCTTTTAGAAGCCTTCTCGACTCAAGTTTAACTCGGACTTCAACCCCATTAAGCGTCCAATGGCATCCAGTTGAGACACCATTGACTGATCGTGAAGGGGTTTCTGTGCCGAGTCCATCATGTCGTAGAACGCCTGTGCGGCTGCCTCCATCTCCTCCTTCTCACATCCCTCATCGAACTGTCCATGGTGAAAGTCATCTAACATGTCTGCTACCCCGGCATCAGCATCAAAAGCCTCCACCCGTGGTCTCACCACCTCCTCTCTCATACGACGGGCTTCACCATGGTGGACCCACCCGGTGTAGTCCGGCGTAAATCCATTCTTCACAAGATGTTTACCCATTTCCACCTTGTTTACCCTTCTCCTGTTTCCACATTTGCTACAGGGACACAAAACTAGGCAATGTTCTTTAGCAGCCTTGCCAAATGCACTGTTCAAGAAAGGATTGGCCTTGTTCATCCATTCCGTGGTGTAATCACTCTGACTTCTCCAGCCCGTGTACATCCACTGACGGTCATCCATCCTCTAACATATGTATCAGTGAGTAATGTAACCGTCAATTGCATCTACACAGTGTTCCTACTGTCTAATAGGCGAGGATAGGTCCTAATCCCACCCGCGGATGCGTAGATGAGGTTAGTTTCCATGCTCTACTCCTATCCGAGACAGAATTTCAGCAGCACCTCCCCGCTATTCTCCAGATACACGTCCTGCCAAAGAAGAGTGCGTATCCAAAGAACAACAGGGAGGTGATGCTGAAACTCTATCTTGGACCGGAGCAGACCATGGAAACTAACCCATCTATGCATCCGCGGGCTGTCCAAAAAACGTGGACAATCCGAAACATATATGGTAATAGATATGCAAAGATCTGCATACCTCCAACCGTATCTCTTTCGAACGGGGGACGCCTAACTAGGTTACACGATCTACGACCATGATACGGAAAGAGGGGTTATACCTAGGGTGGCGGCGGAGTCAGGCTAGCGGGGCCGTGGCGGGTCGGTGCAGTGGCGAGGCGACGCGGTGCAGGCAGACCGACACAATGACACGGAACTCCGACTCGGCTCTGACGGGCTCTTCTCAAAAAATGGAACAAAATCATCATTTAAAAAATTTCAGCGAGAACCTCCCACTGCGGTGAGGTTTCCAAACCCCAAAAAAAAACAACGCACGATGGCCGACAAGCACATATGTCTCAAGAGAAGCCATGTAGTTTGGATATCAATCCATGTAGAAGAATATATCCAAGTAGTACCACTACTTCTACTACTACTTCCACTATTGCTACTACTACTACCACTAGTTCTACTACTACTACCACTATTGCTACTACTACTACCACTAGTTCTACTACTACTACTACCACTACTTCTACTACTACTAACACTAGTTCTACTACTACTACTACCACTAGTTCTACTACTACTACCACTACTTCTAATACTACTACTACCACTAGCACTACTACTACAACTAATACTACTACAACTATCACTACCATGACAACAACAAGAGAGAGGGCATACCTGACGGGCGCTGGGGATAGGGACGGGCGGCGTCGGGGTCAGGGTCGCCGGACTCGGGAACGAGGTCGGGCACGGGCGGCGTCGGGGCGGGCGGTCCACGGGGCGCGGCCGGGAGCAGGGCCGACTCCTACTCCTCATCCTCCTCCTCCTCCCCTCCTCCCCCTCCTCCTCCTCCTCCTCCTCGCCTCGTCCCCCTCCTCCTCCTCCTCCCCTCCTCCACCCGCCCGGCCACACGCGGGCGCTGGGGGTGGGGGCAAGGGCGGGGGGGCAGTGCAAGACGCTGGCGCTGGGAGGGCTGGCAGGCAGCCTTGCGCGTGGGCAGGGCGGCGCCTTGCGGGCGGTGGTGGCGGCCCGGTGGCTGGAAGGCGCGGGGGCGGCCGCGGGCGCAGCGCACGGGGAGGGGAGGGCGGCGCAGGGAGGGGCGGGGCGGCGGGCCAGCCGACGCGGGGCGGGGCGGGACGGCGGCGCGCGTGTGTGCGTGTGTGCATGTGTGGGAGGGAGGGAGGTAACGGGTGGGTGGTCGGTTTGTCTATGGATGGGCCGTTTGCCGAGTGCCCCGATCTGGCACTCGGCAAAGGAGCCGGTTTGCCGAGTGCCAGATCGGGGCACTCGGCAAACGTGTTTTCCTTTTTTTGAAATCTAAACCCTAAACCGCACTGCACCGTATTTTTTTTAAAAAAATACCACTTTGCCGAGTGCCGGGCGGAGAGGCACTCGGCAAACATTTTTTTAAAAATTTGGCACGCTCTTTGCCGAGTGTCCCCACGAACACTCGGCAAAGGGAATACTTTGCCGAGTGCCTGGCATCTTGCACTCGGTAAAGAGCATGTTTGTCGAGTGTCAAAAGATGACACTCAGCAAACCAAATTTTTTTTTGTATTTTGACCTTCAAACTTTTTCTATAGTCCTCTTACAGTACTTGGTACTCCATGTCGAAATTTGGTACATTTCGCAAATTGTTTGCTATATTTAGTTAATTTATTTCATTTAATTGAATTTTTTCGAAAAATGCAAATTTGAACTGCATGTGCATCGAATAATGAAATTTAATGATTCAAAAAATGATATTCATGGTATTGAGTGTAGTGTGAGGCCGTATCCAGGAATGGACCAGAAATTTCGAACATCTTGTTCACGAAACATGACCACGAACTTGCAAACGAATTGTTTTTAAATTCTATAAAATGCAAACGAAGTCCGAAAATCATGAAACTTGTCGAGATGTCATGATATCGTATGTGGAGGATGCGATAAAATTTGAGAAGGTTTGGTGCACGTTATCACGTACGATGCTTACAACCCAGGACATCTGAGATTTGCCGTTATTCTTTGCCGAGTGTCAGGGTCTGGCACTCGGCAAAGAAGTGGTTTGCCGAGTGCCTACCCGCTGGCACTCCGCAAACCTGGATGGCAGGCGGCGGCCGTTACCTGACGTCGTTTTTTGCCGAGCGCCAGGGTTTGCCGAGTGTCTGACACTCGACAAAAAGGGCCTTTGCCGAGTGTCTGGCTTTGCCGAGAGCCTTCTTTGTCGAGTGTATATCGTTGCCGAGTGCGGTCTTTACCGAGTGCCCGACTTTTAGCCCTCGACAAAGAAAGTTGCACTCGGCAAAGGTCATGTTTCCCGTAGTGATGACACGGCTTGAACCATGAACAATGACCAAGGAACCATTCAGGTTGGCCAATGTAACCTGCTTCAGATACAAATTGTGCCGGCCGCCACCACCAACGAGGTCGCTGGGTCCCTTGATTCTTGGCCTCCATTCCTCCGCCTCGAGATCGAACGGGACTATCCAGCCTTGCTCATCGGCTCTGCGATTCACGACGGCGAAATACGCCGCCACGCTTAAGCAGTAGACCACCCCACCGACGACCACCCTGGTCCATTCATTCCACACGAAAGACCTCGGAGGTCCCTGCATTCCCCTCCACCGTGCACTGCTGCTGAATGTGCAGACCTCAAACAGGTCGTCACGGTCGCTGCCACCGCCGTCGTGCCGTTGTCGAAATGGAAGCATCCGCAGCACCTTGAGCTCGCATGTTCCGGCGACCTGCCCAAACATGTGCACGGGCTCCCCATAGTCGCGCAGGCTGAACCCTCGCGCAGCGTGCTCTGGTGCGAGCCTGTCTGATAAATTGTGCACGGCTCCGGTGACCGGGTCGAGCAACCGGAAGCTGCCGCTGTCGATCGTCTTGACGCAGACGAGACCGGAGGCCGCCACGCTCACGACCATGTCGCTCGCGTTCCCTGCCGCCACGTGCCTGACGATCTGGCCCGACGACATGTCCAGGACGTCGACGAGGCTGTCGCGGTCCAGGTCCACGTCGTCGGCGTAGGACGCAACGATGTAGGGCTCCGGGCGTCGCGCGGCGTGCGCGGCGGCGAACCACGGGGCGGAGAGGAGGGACCGCCACGCCCGGCACACGGTGCGCAGCCGGCAGAGCTGCTTGCCCGGGAGACGCAGCAGGATCTCGCACAGCGCGTCCAAGGGCAGAGCGCCGGCGTCGCCGCCGCCACAGGCGGCGGGAGTGGCGGGCGCGGGAAGCCTGCGACGTTGCTGTGCGCGGCGCGGCTCCGGCGACGACATGCTGGATACGATCGAAGGCCTCGAGACATACCTGCAGCATAAAGTGACACGAGAGGTCGGATCGTATCGCGCAGGCTCGCTGTAGTTTGGCCGATCGGGAAGGCACGGTCGCGAGGGCCGAATGAAGAGGGCATACCAGCGGATCGTGATGGATGTCGGTGCCGGATCCCACCGGCGGCGGCAGGGAGCGCGCCGCGCGCGGCGTCGTCAGGGGAGTTGGGACTCCGTACGTCGAGCGTCGTGGAAAGGCGGCGGCTCGGTGTTGATCCGCTATCTAGTTGATTCTGGGGATCTGGGACGAAACTGCCGCCGAAAGTCTCTCATGTAGCAGCATCTTGTGCCGTCAAAGCGACGAAAACAAAATGGACCTTGTGGGCCAGGAGAAACGGTCAAGCGCACACAGACACGAAGGCCTGCAGTGGATGGAATCCAGCCTGATATGTGCGCAGTGCGCTGGCAGGCCGCAGTGGCATTTTTGCTTTGTTGAGTTTGCCTGCCACGGACTCATGCTGGGCCGGCGTTGGCCAAAAAAAAAAAAAAAAACTTTGGCAAAAAAAATCGTCTAAACGACATTAAAAAAACCACCTATACTGTAGAAAGCGTTGCTTCCTTAAAAAAAAGATAATCATACGCGGATGGGCTGCTTCGCACGCCCCGTGCCGCCCGCCTGCGCGCCGTTGCTCGCTCCCGCTCGCGCCCTCATCCACCTCGTCTATCGTGGAAGGGGAGGCTAGGGAGGCCAACGCTTGCACCTGCGCTTGTGCCCCCATCCACCTCACACTGTCAGTAAGAAGGGGAGGCATGCGCCACCGCAGTTCCCCACCAGGTAGGTCGTGACCGCCGGCGACAATGTGTTTCAAGTGTTTTAGGCGTTTTCAGACATGTTGCAAGCCTATGTTTCAAGTATTTCAGTTGTTTCAGACGTATGTTTCAAGTGTTTCATCTGGATGTTGCATATGTTGCTATGGCTATACACGCATGTTTTAAGCGTATGTTTCAAATGTTTCATATGTTTTCGTATTTATGTTGCAAGTGTTTCATCTGGATGTTGCAAAAGTAGATCTGGATGTTGCATATGTTGCTATGGCTACACACGAATGTTTCAAGTGTTTATCTGTTTTCAGACGTATATTGCAAGTGTTTTATCTGGATGTTGCATATGTTGCAAATGACTATGTTGCAAGTGTATGTTCTGAATGTTTCATCTGTTTTAGGCGTATGTTGCAATTGTTTCTTCTGAGTGTTGCAAAAGTAGATCGTAGAGGGAGGAAGCCTAAGCCCTAGGTGGTCCAACTGCTTCGGCTCCCTGGTGTGGCGAAGATGGAGGTCGTGAACACGAGAGCGGCGGGGACGTGATACTGTGGCGGATCGGCCGGGATGTGGAACGGGATGGGCGCAAGCACGTATCATCTGACAGGATGGGTCACGGGCCTCCATGTTGCGTGCATTGGCCCAAAAAAAAAGCTTTGGTAAAAAAACCACCTAAACTGTAGTACCGTTGTTTTCCTTAAAAAAACTAGTCATCAAAAACTTGATACCGTACATCATAGAGCATAGATCAACGTGGAATGTAGTTCCTATATTATTTCTACGCATTTTCGAGTATAAATACTAGTAGCGGCAGCCGCAGTAGAGTGGTGATACGGGCACACGGTCCAAGGTTTGTTGGTGAACATTCAGGGCATTATTCAGTTGCCCGTCTCAAAGTCGACTTTGAGCTGTCTGATAAATACCCAACCATATACTCTAGGCATTTGCATGGATTGCAACAGGTCCTGACCATCTATAATCACAACTTGTTGCAACTATCCCACTTGTGAGCGTTGGATTTGATTGCAGAATGCAACCGCTAGAAGATGCCGTTTCTTGGCGTGTCATCAATTGAACTAATGTCATAATTGTGACCGTTTCGAGTCCAGGCCCACACAGTTTGATCCATTTCATTCCATCAGAACGGTTGGCTGAAAAGACAGTTTATTTGTCCCTATTATTTGATTCGAGTAAAACATTTACGACGGTGCTAACGTGGATAAGATGCTTAATTAAGTGCGTTCCTACTTATTGTTTGCTAACATGATAACAGAGCCTACTTAAGCACCAATAATTTGCAGTGTAATATAATGTATTCCAAAAATTTTAGACAACTTAAAAGGAAATCATCAAATGACGTATGTACCATAGATTAAATCCAATTAAAATGTTTCTCTTCAAATTATGGTTTTCTTCTTAACAATTTTTGTCAAATCTAGACATTAACACCATGTAGAATGCGCTATATTTCAGTATAAATTTTAGAGCACGAAGGGAGTAGGGACTAATTTTTAGAATGCTTAATTTATTTATATAATAATATTTTCTTATTAAGAGCTTGCGTACTAATAGTTTGGAATTAATCATTTTGCATGAACTTTGCAAAGTTGCTCCCCCTTCTTGTAAAGTTTGCATTTTTTTTTTGTTGCTATGTTGTTGTCGTTGTTGTCGCTATGCTGCACACACGCCAGCCTCCTCCATGCCGTGCCGCGCATGACCTCCACAGCAAGCCCACGCGAGCTCCTCCACGGTGAGCCCGTGCTAGCTCCTCCATGGCGAGCTCCACAACGCCGCAAATCTCGTCGGAACGAGAGAGACGGAACCTGCGGGGTTGCAGGAGTCGAGCTGAGGTGCTGCCGGCGATGGTGATGGAGACCAAGTAGTAGGCACCATGGTCGATTGGTGTGGTTGCGGGAGAAGAACTCTGTAGTCGGCCATGGCTGTTGATCCGGTCCGAGGGAGAAAAAGGACCGCGGGCATGGCTATCGATCCAATATCCGAGGGAGAAAAAGGTAAGAAGAAAATAGAAAAAAAAATCTCTGATATGTGGGTGCCATATATTGGGGGTTTATTGGTGATATGTTGCAGCATCTTCTTGAGTAACCCCAAAATAGTATTGATGATCACTAATACCATCCTATTGGAGATAAACTATTAAGAAGCTGCTAGAGATGCTCTTAATGAGATGTCTTTATTTGCACTTACTATTAGTACAATAGCAGAGGCAGATGTTTTTAATTTGTAGAGGCAGATACACCAACCGCTTCTAATAAATTATCATTGTTAATGGTTATTGACGGAGGCAGTCAACATGTCCATATTTTTTTGACAGAGGTGGTAGCAAAAACTGCCGATCGGAATGAATCGTCTTCCGTGTAATTTGCCGATCTCTGTACAACTAAAACATATGCATTGTCAACATCTATCCAGCAGGACCAAAATACTCATGTGATCTATATCCGACAAGCAAATAATCACCGTATGGAGACATTGAAGGCAAGTAAATTAAATGGAATAAAACTCATGAAATCACCGGCAGTCAAATAATCACCGCATGGAGACACTGGAAGGCAAGTAAAAAATGGAATAAAACGGAAAGAGAATTATGGGAAGAGAAAGAAATTTATTAGAATATCACCACGCAATGATTATGATCGTGATCCAAATCTCGTCCGTCGTCCTTCGCGTTGCGTGTTGACAACAAATATTTTTTTCCCAAAAAATGAATTGTTGCCATGCCTCATGCAGGCCAGGATATTGTAAATCCGAGTATACATGTTTTGGGCAATGCAGAGCATGGATAAATTCAATTCGATGTCTAGCAATAAATTTTCAGCCTTTGAGATAACTAATGCCTGTCGTAACTTTCAGACAACAAGATCCAAGTCTAGTTTTTATTTCAGATTCATTACAATAATGAATGTGTTTTTAGACATTATCATGGTATAATGCACGTGAAAAATTGAATTGATATATTCTTGATTTTGACTTGGAAACATCCCATTCAATTTATGTTGCACCCGTTGCGACGCATGGGCACTCATATAGTACAACAACAAAAAAAAAAGAATATCAAGCTGATGACTTTCACGGTCCGCATATTGGTCCATACATATTCCGGTGAGCCCCATCAGCAAATTATTATTTTCTCGAATGAAAGCGGGATTTACATTAAATCTTAGCACAGTACATTCCCAAATTACATATAAAAAATCAGAAACAAAAAATACATAATACTATCCAGATCTTTCATCATCTTCTTCCCCAATGGCTTCCCTCAAATGCCGTGGTCAAAGTGTAATCCTTGTGCGAATCCAACGACCACCCCAAAACATTAGGCATGCCGTAAGATTCAACGGTTCAAACTAGTCCAAAATACATCTAAATCGCTGAAAGTATATCGACACTTGCATCGTCGGATACGACATAGGCAAATTATTAACTCTACACATATCTCAAAGCAGCCATCTGATTAATTAAACATTCTCTACAAATTAGCCAGTCATCCGGTTTCCACAGGGCGTCCTCAACGGGAGAGGAGAAATCGTCAGCTTACCTGGCCTAGTGTGGAAATAAAAAGGTACAAAATATATCAGCCATGGAGGTGCGATACTAGCGAGATGCCAAGAGCTAGCGGCGAGTTTTCATTCCCTCTCTCTCCTCACGTGATCCTCCGAGCCCCTTGTTGGGGACGCCCTGAGGTCCGGCAAGGCGACAACACTGTGCTGTGCGCTCGCCGTCGTGGCGTCGCTGCACGCCGCCACCAAACAGAGCTCATGCATGTGATCGAGTAGGTTCGAGTCTCTTGCTGACGAATGACGATGTGCCGTAGCCCATAGGTCGTTGAGAAACCGGCACACGCGGGCAGCGTCATCCTCGCCGCATGCGGACGAGACCAGCGTCGTCGTCCAGTCTCCGGTGCTCACTGGTATTCTTGCGCTCGCTCGCTCTTCCACCAGTTCACCACCTCGAGGAGCCAAAAACAGGCACCATGTCCATGCCTTTCTTTCGATCCCTCCTTGTTTCTGTTTGTGGGTGGTGACGGCGGCTGCTGCTGCAACAATGTGCTATGTTTCCATTGCTGAGCACCATGTGCTGCCGGACCTTCTCCCCCCGTGGATAAGATTAATGCTCCGCTGCGGCCTGCGGCGGCGGCGACGTCCGTGGAGAGCACGGCGGTCTGCGTGGCTGCCTGCGCGTGATTGGACGGGTCAGGCAGTGACTCAAGTGAAAAATATAATTAAGAAAATATTTAGATGATTAGATGGGCTATTTAAGATTTGTGTAATTTTTATCTTGAAAGAGAAGTATTGGAGCAGTTCCCAGTTATTTATTATTATGTTGAGCATCCCAATAATAGGTAGATAGATACAAACAACAAACACAAATAATGAACTACCTAATAAGACTTAAAAATAGAAAATAATTGTAATTAAATAATCTGCACTCAAGTCTATTGCTTTTTGTTGTTTTCCTTTATTGATGCAAAATGGGATTTCAGTGATTGCCCTTAAACCAAATATCTTGGTTTCATAAAGTGGAGGAACTATCCTAGTCCACTACTAAACATCATTTGCTTCGTGATGAACAAATGCATCAAAAATTAATATAATAGACAGCTCTTCTGTCTACTTGTTTTTGAAAAATGCCAATTACATCAAGAAAATAGGAAAAATAGTCAATATCTAAGTCTTTGACCCATTAATCAAGTAGTCATCCTTAGAAGTCGATAGCCACGATTTTTTCCTGAAGGTTGACTGTCAGAAAATATCTTGCAGATGTCATGAGAACCTGATACACTGTAACACATTTGAATGTCCCTAACACGAGAATAAGGATATGTTTGATTCTCTGGTCTAAAGTTTAGTGGCTCAAGTTGAGGACTAAAGCTTTAGACCCCTTTAACTCACTTATATGGTCTAAAATTTTTATGAGGTGGTCTAAATTTCAGACAACACTTTAGACCTTCTGTTTGAAGCCGCAAGAGCTAAAGTGGTTAAACTTTAGACCATGGGATCCAAACAGGCTTTAAATCTACTGACCATATCTAAAGTACAGTGATCCGCCTCTGCTCTTGGTAGGCAAAACACATGAAGAGCTGGAGCCATTTTTCCGCTGCTAAGCAACCGGAGCCAAAGCCCCACCAAACAGACTCTCCTAAGTCAAACGTCACAGGAGGACATCTAGTTGAGTCCTGCGCTACAGTTGTCGGGTCGCATCCAATGCAAGGTGGGGAAATGATCGTACGTCCCTTTCGTAGTTCGTCACGGGATATTTTGATCCCAATCCGCCCAAGCAGAGTGGTTTATGGCACCTACAGCAGCAGCACCTCCCTGTCAGTGTCACCTTGCCGGCTAGAAGACGAACACAGAACAACCCATCAGACGATCGGTTACCAAACTGCCACAGTTGGGCTCTGTTGGATAGCTGGAGCGATGGCCTTCGAGTCTTGGATTGGAGCGCCTGAAATCAGTGGTGGACAAATGGGAAAACTGCAGTGGATCCTGGGAGATCCGGCATTACCCTCCCAAACGCCCAAACCTCGCACTGTTGCCGCATCCGGCTCTGCGATCTCCTGTTCGGTTTTGATTAACACATGCATGGCCACGAAAATCGCATCTTATTTTTACTTGAAAAAAAAAAGTGATTGAATCGCCAAGTCTATTTCGGATTTCCGGTCCAAAAAAAAAGTTATATGTGTATATCACACCTTATTAGTTTGATGAACAGCCATCGTTTTGTGCGTGCAAATGTTCGCAAAGCGACGCTTCTTAATTACTATCAGCAGCATCATATCCGTGCACGGATCCATCCATCAGCCGGCTTGTCGATCACTCGGCGTATGACAGAGGCAAATAAGCAGCGAATCAGCACTCAACGGCCGCCATCCATCGATCTAGCTACGCACGTCACTACCGCTCCATCACTTACATCACACTGCACCCGGCCGAAACCGGTGCCTCCACGCGCGGCACCCATAGGCGACAGCCAGGTCCGCTCGCAACCAACTCCCGGGTCCCGCGCGCGCGCTAGCTCTCTATCTCTATCTATCTCCACCACCTCACCTGCCGTCATGACGCCGCGCCGCGCGCCCACATGCAGACGCCGCGCAGGCTCTGCCGCACCGGCACCGGCGCGCTCACACCGCCGCACCCCCCTCTATATAGTCCGCAGCCCGCCCGCCTCTCGCTATAGCCAATAGCCATCCCGGCCAGCCGCAGCAGCCCAAGCAATTGCCCAACGCCCCAACCCGTGCAACTTCGTTGCGATCCTCTGCCAGCAGCTCCGGCCGGCCGGGGCGCCATGGATTCGAGGAGGAGGGCCTTGTTGCTGGCTGTGGGCGCGGTGGCGCTGGTGGCGTCGTGGGCGCCGGCGGGGGTGGTGGGCGACTTCGCGGCGGACCGTGCGGAGTGCTCGGACACGCTGGTGGGGCTGGCGACGTGCCTGACGTACGTGCAGGAGCAGGCGACGGCGACGGCGCCGACGCCCGACTGCTGCGCAGGGCTCAAGACGGTGCTGCAGAGCAGCCGCAAGTGCCTGTGCGTGCTGATCAAGGACCGGGACAACCCCAACCTGGGGCTCAAGCTCAACGTCACCAAGGCGCTCGGCCTCCCCGCCGTCTGCAACGCCCCCGCCAACATCTCCGACTGCCCCAGTACGTACTACTACTAGTGTCTCACTGACTAGCTAGCTATAATAGTATAATAACTGAGGCGAAACATACGTATGCATGTGATCTATCAATCATTAATTGCCAGATTGCGGATATATCGATCCACCTGCTGCTGGTTGAGTGCTTGTGATCTTCCTCTATATTCGATTTGTTCGGTTTCTTTTTTTAGCTGAAACAGTGTTTTTCTCTCACAACAATTTAGTCGGAACAATATTTTTCAGCTAAATTTCAGACCAGCGAACGTGGCCTTAATTGCTGCTTTACGTACTCTAATTGTCCACTTGGTTAAGACTTTCCGAGAAAGTGCCAAGTACTGTTTCTTTTCTTTTTATTAATAGAACTAGACAATACTTGACAAGTCTCAGTTATTATTCTATCTTAATCATAACAAAAGAATACTTCGCGTTGTTGCATGATTTTTTTAGAAATAAAATGGTTGTATCGCTGCATCTATGAGAGAGGTATATAGATAGATAGATAAAAAGCAGCTTCACCTGAACTTGTTAATTTTGCTAAGCCGAATACTAGGACATACGGTTAAAACATATGCGTGCGGTCCGTCCATGCCTCAACCTAGGAAAATCACCATTATTTTCTAGGAAAATAGGAGTAGAAACGAATTGCTGTAAATTGACCACCCTCTGTGGCTCTGCATATAGATCAGGGCAAAGCCCGACAGAAACGAATAGGCAGTAGGCACCCGGCGTCACCTTGCTAGGACAGCAACATGTCACAAGAATTCCGTGTCCCATAGGAAACGGATCGGAAACAGTTATCTCGGGACCGACCGGGCTTTGTTGTCTCGTGCAGTCTGCCGGAGCCCAAGGTGGGAGAAGGGAAGGCTCCAAACGCGCGGGCTTCCTTGCGGGTGCACGGCAACCGCCCACCCCGTGATCGATGCCGGTTCGGTGTGGTGTATTAAGCGGCGCCTGATCACTAATCATTCTGGCCACTTTGGGCTACCAGAGAACGACACTCTGACAGGGACAGGTGTGGACTCCTGCCTGACGGCACAAATCCAAGCAACAAGTCGGCAACAAATGCACCTAGACCTAGCAGTGGCCTTAGCTAGCTCGTTAGGCACGCCATTCCAGTTCTTGTTCGATGAAAAAGACGTGAACACACTGGTCCATACTCCATACTAGTTCATAGCACTGTGTTTCTCCTGGGATGCTGTGCTGCGACCTGCAACTGACATGTGATGTGTTTTTCTGTTGTGGTGACGACGCGCAGGGCTGCTGAACCTGCCACCGGACTCCAAGGACGCGCAGGTGTTCGAGCAGTTCGCGAAGCAGGCGGCGGCGCAGGGCAGCGCACCCAGTAAGTTTCAGTGCTGTGTTCTCCACTCCGCTTTCTTCGTCTCCTTGCATGATTTTAGATGGTTTACAGTGCCTCATCTGACGGCGTTTATGCCCTGATTGCGGGACACCTGATTGTCCTGCAGCTGCAGGAGCACAACTGCTGAACCGCATACGTGCTAGCTCTGAACAGAGTGCACCGGTAGAACAGACAAGTGCAAACGCATATATGTTTCCGAAAAAAAAGAGAGAGAAGAAGAAAATGAAACTTTATATATAATATATGCATACATACATACAGCAGTGCTCTTGCTGTCTGTTCTTTAAACTGTGATGCCAAGGTCGTCGACTCGTGGCGAGCATCTTTTGGAGCTCACTTTGCACTTGTTTAGTTGTTTTCGATTGCAATTGCAATCCTCGTTTGCTTTCACGCTGTCTGACGCACGCCTAACCGTGGTGCCTTCCAGGTGGCGGCGGCAGGGCGGCGCCCGCGACCGCGCAGAAGAACGGAGCGGCGGCGGGTCCCGCCAAGCGGTGGTTGGGAGTGGGAAGCAGGGTCGGTGATGGCGGCGCACGCGCGGTGGCGCTCCCACTCTTCGCGCCGCTCGCCGTGCCTTTCCTGATTCTGCTCGGATAGAGACAGATCAGATTACGCGGCCGGCCGGGATCGGGAATCCCGGCGGTTTAGTTGGCGCCGTTAGTTGCCGACTTGTGGTGTCCTCGGGTGCGTGCATGGTGTTGTACTTTTCATACTATGGGAAAAGAAGATATTAACTTCGAATTCGAATGAAAAAAGACTATGCCTTTGTACAATTTTCTTTGTCGCGTATCCTTCGAGAGCAACTCCAATAGCGCTAGTTAGAGTCATTCAATGAATATTCTCTTCATATATCTCTCGCTTATATTTTCAATGGACACTCTAATCTTTATTCCCTATACTCTGGTAGCTTATTATAATTTTGCTTATGTGCAAAAATCTATGAGAAAACTGCCGTTTATTATTTAGAGAGCCCATGTAGCACCACCGTGGAAGGGAAGTTGGCTGCAGGAAGGGGATAAGTGGCGACATGGACTAGAAGGCTAAAAGGGAATGAGCATTTGGGAGGAAAGTGCAGATAGCTATTGGGCTTCAACCGCGAGAGTGTGAAAAAAAAGGAAAAAGTCAATGTTACCTCCTCAACTTTTTGCGAAAGTCTATTTTTTCTCCTTGAACTTGAAAACCGGGTAAACCACCTCCCTCAACTTTTAAAACCGTTCATTTTACCTTCTTGACCCGGTTATGAGTGGTTTTCGAAGGCCGTTTTGTCTTTTTATTTTTTATTTATTTTGGTTGAATCTTTGAAAAATGATAGTAAATCACAGAAAAATCATAAAATAGAAAAACCAATTTTGTTGGACTCCACATGAGTAGATCTACACAGTAAATATATAATATGGTATGCTTTAGTATAATTTTTTTTTGTAGCTTTAGATCTATGATTTTCTGTAATTAATTCAAAGCTGCAGTTTTTATGGTCCAATTGTGGTGAAATTTTTATGGCGAGTTAATTATTGTATGATTGAACTTAGTTATACATTTATTTAGTTTTATGCTTGTTAAATAGTTTTAAAATAGTAAAAAGTGTATAAAAATAGGAACGAATATGAAATTTTTACTACAGTTAAAACATACAATAATTAGACCATCATAAAAATTTCACCACAATTGGACCATAAAAATTATAGCTATGAATTAATTACAGAAAAGTATAGATCTAAAGCTACAGCAAAAACTTTGTACTAAAGCATACCATATTATATGTTTACTATATAGATCTACTCATGTGAAGTCTAACAAAATTAGATTTTTTATTTTATAATTTTTCTGTGATTTACTATGATTTTTCAAATATTCAGCTAAAATAAATAAAAAATAAAAAGACAAAACCGCCTTTGAAACCATCTATAACCGGGTCAGTGAGGTAAAATAAATGGTTTTAAAAGTTGAGGGAGATGGTTTATCCAGTTTTTGAGTTGAGGAGAAAACTAAACTTCGATGATAGTTGAGGAGGTAAAATGTACCTTTTCTAAAAAAAAAAAAAAATTCGGCTTCACACAACACAAGCCGAACAACTTCTGGCTCTTTCCTAATTTCCTTCCCTTATTCCCTAGTCAATCTATTTTATAATCTGAAATCTGCCATGGTGCACATCACATAAGCGGAGGGGCGCGCACCGTGCAGCGTGAGATGATGGCATGTGCAAACTTGGGCTTGCGGCCCATGGGATGGGGCAGGGCCGTGTGGAGCGTGTGCAGCTGCCGAGTGTCGAGCTCGGCGCATCCGGCTGTTGAGTCGTTCAGGGCCTTCGGGCGAGCAGTGCATCAAACAGGCCGTAAGCCTGGATGATGAAGTGGTCGAAACTGCTGGCAGTATTGCGGCAAGCCAGAAAGCAAATAATAATAAGGCGCAATGTTTGTAATTTTGAATAGTTGTCTGAATCAATATTTCATCCTCTTAGCAATTTACTGTATGCTACTTTTATTAAACCAAATTCTTCTCTAATGCTGGGAATTATGTTGAAGTCATGCATTATTTTATTTTATTTTTACGCTAAAACTGTGAGGGAGATCCCCACAGTGTGGCTTTGTATTAAAATTTTAACAGAGTCTACAAGGGGTACAGACGAAGTCATGCATTATTACGGGTTGACGCTAAACTATTGTATTGTGTGTATAGATTGCTCCCATAGGTCTTTTGTTTGGATGTTGTCGAATTCACGTCAATCCACATGTGTTCGGGTAGATTGAGGTGGAATTTAATTAAAGTTTCACTCCAATCCACCTCAATACATGTAGATTTATGCGAATCCGACTATATCAAAACAAGGCCTAAAGTGCATTTTCTATTGATTTGGTATACTCAATGTATTTGTCTTTCATTAGTCCCTCGTGATATATTTTGTATCATTCCACTTCGTTTTCCTTTTTTTTTTTTTGGGGAAACACTTCCTTTCTCCATTGAAACTGCTTTAAATACATATATTGGCATATCAATGAACTTATGGTGGTAGTCGGTATAGCCCCCTCTACTATATTTGTTTCTGAATACTTTGTAATCCTGTAAGTTCTGCATATGGAAAATGCAATAAGGTGTATTATAAAGATAAGTCTTTTTAGTCTAGGTAATCCTTTAAACTGTCACATGCGTTGAGTTCAAAGAATGTGAAATAACATGGTGGGTCAGGGCCGCCAATTTAGACTCCTATACCTACACGTGGTATCTCACCGATGTGTTGTATTAGGCATACCTTGATGTCTGGATTTTTTAATTTGTTATGATCGACTAGGAAACTAATATGTATAAACCGATTAGATTGGAGCTCTATATTAACCATACACCTCTACATTATATATAAAGAAGGGTACAGACCCCTGGTCTTACCTAATAGACATCTCTAGTGCTCCTCAGTATACGAGCACAAGCAATACAAACACCGTCACACACAGGACGTAGGACACCCTCTGCCTATAAACTACTATAAATCTGTGCCTCTAGACGTACCCTAGATCTTCTAAGCGCAATACATCTCATAATTGTTGCCTATGGTAACATGAGATATAGTTTTGTTGCTCAAAGAAACTAGGGGTGAATTTGACCTGTATGGCACCACTGAGCGCACTTCATTTTTAGTACTCCAGATGATTATCACTCTGTCCATTCTAAATTTTAAGTCGTTTTGCACAAATTTATATTGAAATGGAGGGAGTAATATTCACGGAGTAAACTTTAGTCCCTGTCTCATCGGATGTTTGGACACCAATTTAGAGTATTAAATTAATATAGACTAGTTACAAAACTAATTGCACAGATTGAGACTAATCTGCGAGACGAATCTATTAAGCATAATTAGTCAATAATTTGACAATGTGGTGCTACAATAAACATGTGTATAGATTAATTAGGCTTAATAGATGACTTTTGCAATTAGTTTTATAATTAGCTCAAATTTAGTCCTTCTAATTAGCATCCGAACATCCGATATGACGAGGACTAACGCTAGATCAAACACCCCCGAAGTACTAGCTATCGGAGCATGGAAGAGACGAAGAAGCCCTAGAAGACCAACAAATGAAACACAAAAAACTATTAAAATGTTGGGAATAAAATGTAGCACATATTTTCTCTGTTTGAAAAAATATTATCCTAGTTGTACCTTCATTCAATAAAATCGATCAAATTTCATCAATATTCATGACACTAAATAGGTATACATAAAAATATAAAAAACAGTGAATCTAATGACATTTTTTAATATAAAAAGTATTGGCATTTTTATATAAAAAATAATATTACTTCATTAAATTAAAATAGTTTGACTCGGTGTACGGGCGAACAGAAACAAACCTGATGGACCATTTCCAAGGTCATTGTCATGTACTCCACTCTAGAATAATGACAGCTAAAGGTCTGGGCGGAAACTTAAACTTCAGGCGCACGCGTAATCCCACGCACAAATCATCATCGCCTATTTTCGACGCAAAAATGCAAAAAATAACAGAAATACTATACAATATATGTGTTTTAACAAAAAAAAAAACATGGATTTTTTTATCTCTCTCCCTCTCTCTTTCTCATCGATGACCACCGGCGCCGGCGACGGCGACCGGCGAGCTCGCCCCAGCGTCCACGGCGGATCTGTGATTTGTCATTTCATAGAAAAAAAATTATAATCTATGATATATGGAGACTAGAGATAGAAAAAAAATAGAGACATTGGATCTTAATTCTACGACGTTAAAAAAATAATCGTATTCTTGCGAACCAAACCAAGTACCAAACCCAACCCAGCCTACGCCAGCCAAGGCAAGCCGAGTCGCCCCAAATCATTCGTCTCCTTCCTCCCCTGCACTTGCTCGTTTGATTGATCGATCGATTGATTGATTGGCGAGCAACAACTCCCACCACCCGCAACCGCAGCAATCTCCCCCTCGCCAACTCCGTCTAGAGGAACCCACCATTTGCCATTGCCGAGGAGGAGGAGGCGCGGTCGTCGCGTGAGGAGGCGTTCTGGATCTCGGATGGCGTCGGCCAAGTCGTCACGGTCGCGGCCCGCGGGCCACTCGGGGGTGTTCCCCGTGGGCAGCGCCGCCGCGGTGGGGAGCGGGGGCGGCGGCGGCGGCGACGGCGGGGTGCAGCTCGCCGACAAGCTCAAGATCTTCAAGACCGACAACTTCGATCCCGACGCCTACGTGCAGTCCAAGTGCCAGACCATGAACGAGAAGGTGAGCCCTGCCTCCCTGTCTGCCTGCCGGCCTGCCATCTCTGATCCGGCCGCGTTGCGAGGTCCAGCTCTCCGGCTTCTGTCCTCCTGCTGCGCCTGTTGTCAGGTCAGGGTGTGTTGGACCGCGGGGGTGGTGGAGAGGTCTCATTTCGTTGTTGCGTGGTGGGGTGTCTGTTGGACTAGGCGAATGTGATCTGTGGGGCAGTGGGTGGTGTTGGAATCCAGGCGAATTGCGCACACAGGGGTGATTCTGTTCTCTGGACGACTGGTGATTCAGGGAATGCACTTTGACAAATTGCAGGAGGGTGCTTGATGGACATCTCAATTTGTGTGTTCTTACTTCCTAGCGCAATGGGTACTTCCTTGGAAAACAGCTATTCACGTGCCATTGCTTCTGCTGGGTTTCTCTAGCCTACCCAACTTTGGGACTTAAAGGCTTTGTTGTTGTTGTTGTTACTTCCTAGCACAATGGGTACTTTGCAGCGAAAAAATAATCTGGCATAACTTGTGGGGATGATATCAGAATTTGGATGCTTCACTCATCTAACCGAAGAATTTTTATACTGGGGGCAAATATATTTATTTTTTGTTTATTGCGTTGTTTGTTCAAATTAGAAAACTGAGTATGTCCTAAACAAGAGGAGTATTGTCTTATGATTTTATCTGGACATTGAGTACAAGCCAGGGATTTTGAAATACTTTTGCACTTGGATATGCTGCCACTCTTCAGGTTGCGTCATATTATGGTTATGTGTCGGGTTTTACTTAGAAATGAAATGTGGTTATGTTTATGCTGCCATTTAGAAATGAAATGTTGTTATATTCAATTTTCTTGTGGACATGGGGAATTCATGCCATTACTTTTTGAAAATAGTGCATTTTGAGTTTGGTATGGCTATTGCTACAGAAGGTTTGAGTCCAGACCTAATTATGATGATCAGAGCAATTAAAGGGACCGCGACCATGCTAATACATCTCTGTGTTCTAAATAATACATTGCTTGTTTGGTGATAGAAAAATGGTGTTTGTTCTTTTGGCATCATCTGCAGCTTGAAAAGCTACTCAATTTAAAGAATTTGCCCTTGCATGCTATATTGAGTTAGGGTTTTTAGTTTTGTGGTAGCTTTTGAGTAAACCATTGAGAATGCAACATATTTTGTATCATGTGTTTTCTCTATTCCTCACTAAGGGTGTTACTTCAATATTTGCTTTTTGTGGCAACTGGGATAACTTCCCTCCAGCCTAATAAGATCCATGTGAGTTTAGAAATATTTTAACTTTTGGATCTACAGCCATCCCTTCATAGGAGTCTGAGTATTGTACACCTCTTGTTTGAATTGTATGAAAGGCTGCTGATCTTTTTTGGTTTTGGCATTCAGCAAAATTCCTAGTTTTTACTGGTTTAATATAACCACAGTGTAATATGCCTAATGTGTTCTCACTAACAAAATAAAATCTCTCCGTTTGACATTCATGTTTGGACAGTGGATTTGGTTCATGAGAATAATTTGGACTGAGTTTATTGCTCACATTCCATATCTTTAAATCTATCATTTTTCAATATCTGGGATGCAGGTATGTAGTAATGCATTTCCATGGAATTTTTATGGATTCTTTATAATGCACTAGCTAATGCTATTTTCTGAGGCATGATTACATTGGCATTGGCCTTTCTACTCTCTTGGCATTTCACAGTTATGTTTCTTAAGACATCTGCCCTTGTACTCTCCTAGCCATCTGCTTATTTGTTGTTTCCTATGCTGCTGAGTGCTGATATTGTTGAAGTGTTGAATTCCACCTGAGCGATCAGTACATTGTTAGAGTGTGCACCAGACATAACTGACAAGGAAAACCAAATTCATTTCAGGAAATAAGACATTTGTGTTCTTATCTCCAAGACCTAAAGAAGGCTTCAGCTGAAGAGATGCGTAGAAGTGTTTACGCAAATTATGCTGCATTTATCAGGTCTGGCATTCACCTCTTTTGCAAAATTTCCTTAAATGTGCTGTGCTGTTTAGGGATGACAACGAGCTGGGTTAGGTATGGGTGCATTAAACAGCCCTCCGCCACAAATCTTTGGACATAAAACCAAGCGCACACCTGCAACACCCACAGCCATAGCTAATAGGCACCCTAGACCCAGTTGTCATCCGATGGCTCTCACCACAGCAAGAGAAACTCCAAACGCAATAAATTCAAGCAATCCATTCAGCGAAGCAACAAATACAGGGCATCCATCAAGCAGAAAGAGTTGGCTAATCATGGATCTGACTGGTTGCCATTACTGCTCTCGCTGTCCTCAGCATCTCATGTGGTCGCCATCAATGCCACAGCCATGGTTGCGATGGGCCTGTGGCCATGGTGGCTATGCAGTGGCCAGAATAGGGAGGTCAGGAGGGGGCGCAGTCCGTAGTGGGTGGTGAGGTCGGTAGGGGGGCCCATCACCTGCAGTGGACTGGTGAGGTTGGGAGTGGACCTCAACCATTTCGCTGAAGGGAGGCAAGTAGCGACATTGCTGGCAAACAGTGACTGTCCACGGTGATTTTGGTGTTGCGGCTGGGTACACGAGGGAAGGGGCTGAGTGGATAAGGTGGCAGAGGAGGGCTTGCCTGAGGGCCGTAGTGTTTGAATTGGGCTAGGGCTAGGCCATATATGTGGTACTCGTGGCCTGGCTGTGTATAGTCTGCCCTTGTATTCAGTTACATGTTGGGCACCCATGGGTCAAGTGGCAGACCCACCCCCAACCTGCTTCATTTCAGGTAGCTGACCTGCCATACCCATCGGTGGGATTTTGCACCCACACTCACAACTATTCAGTACAAAACATGAGCGTACCCACACCCGCATCCAACTGTCATCTGTGACATCCAGTCCAGTTTGAATTTGGCCCATAGTGGCCCATGTTGTGTATTAATGTGAGGTTGTCACCTTATCGTTTGTGCAGTATCTTTTTATTATCATTTATCACTTTCATCAAATCCTTATTTTTCTTTCTCATAAGAGCTCTTAACTCTCATCATGCTGAATGCTGCCTACAAAAACAGCTATTAATTTTTTAGTAATTCAGTGCTATAGCAAATCTTTTTCTTTATGAGTTGAACCATTTAATCCATTAAACCAATGCTTATGCAGAGGTATTTGCCTACTTTTATTATTGTGTTGGTAATATCTTTGTCCTCTTATTTATATGTATATCTGGTTTTGTTTCTCTCAAATGCTTTGACAATTCCAAAGATTATTTCCTTATCTAGTATTAGCATACCTGTTTTTATTGATTGAGGGTTGTAACAATCTTATCTTTTTATATTCGGCCTGAACTTCTCTTCTTTAGTGTCTAGTTTGTGACATGTGAAATCAAAGTTTGTACTGTACCATTGTGGGACATCTTTTGCTCAAATAATTACTTCGTATGGATTTTCTTGTCATCAGAACATCTAAGGAGATATCAGACCTTGAAGGGGAACTACTGTCAATTAGAAATCTGCTTAATACACAGGCAGCTTTAATTCACGGTCTATCTGAAGGAGTTCAGATAGATTCATTGACTTCAGGCCCTGAAGGTTCTGCAGAAGACGACATATCCAATGTTGAAGATCAGGAGCCTTCAGAAATACAGAAATGGTCTGCAGATTTCCCTGACATGCTTGACGTTTTGCTAGCTGAGCGAAGAGTGGATGAAGCACTGGATGCACTGGATGAAGCAGAACGGGTTGCTGTTGATGCAAAACGAAAACAGACTCTCACTGCAGCTGAAGTTTTGGCTTTGAAAAGATCTATCTCTGATAATCGTCAGAGGCTGGCAGATCAGCTTGCTGAAGCTGCTTGTCAGTCTTCCACTCGTGGTATTGAGCTTCGAGCTGCGGCTTCTGCCCTCAAAAGACTTGGTGATGGCCCCCGAGCTCACAGCCTCTTACTCAGTGCACATAATCAAAGGCTTCAATGCAATATGCAAACAATACATCCATCTAGCACTTCATACGGTGGGGCATACACTGCAGCACTTGCTCAACAAGTTTTTTCAGTCATAGCTCAGGCACTCAGTGACTCTGTGGATGTGTTTGGTGACGAGTCATGTTATGCATCTGAACTGGTAACATGGGCTACCAAGCAGGTTATGTCCTTTGCGCTCCTGGTGAAGAGGCATGTGTTGTCCTCTTGTGCAGCTGCTGGAGGCTTGAGGGCAGCTGCCGAATGTGTTCAGATATCACTTGGCCATTGTTCTCTGCTGGAAGCTCGCGGTCTGTCTGTTTCATCTGTTCTCCTCAAACAATTCAAGCCCAGTCTTGAGCAAGCGTTAGATGCTAACTTGAGGAGAATTGAGGAGAGTACTGCTGCACTAGCAGCAGCTGATAACTGGATACTCACATATCCCCCAACTGGTATTCGTCCATTAACTAGATCGTCTGCTGCTAACTTGGCACTTCAGCCAAAGCTCTCTAGCAGCGCACACCGTTTCACTTCAATGGTCCAGGTAATGGTTACCTCTTATGGTTAAATTAGAAGAATGAATCTATCTTTTTGTTGTTTCCAGACAGATGATAATAATCTTTTTTAAAATCTTGTACCACCAAAGCTGTAGTATATTAATCGCATGGCATAGCGACGTGTCTATGACGTAATATTTCTTTTGCCACTACCTCAGGCGTTCTTTTCAACTCCATCTTTGTTTCCTGTTCTTACTTGCATTGTCTGTTGAACTTATGTTCTCATCAAAGATGCCAGTTTCAGCAAATGTTGCATTAATTTCTCAGAAAATTCTCAGATTTGTCTTCTGTCCTTTTTATGTATTTCAGACTAGTTGTAGTGTGTTGAACTGATATAGTAGGTGTGCAATCACTAGAATGATTGATGATGCCAGCAGAGCTGTCTTGAATCGCTAGTTGAACCACAAAAAAATTTGCTTAAACTCGAAACAAATTTTTCCTTGTCCTTACTTTTGCATTCAAGATATATTTGGCTATACACTACTTCCATTGCGCTCTGCTTCTTCGGAAGTGATGGTTAGCTTGTATCTTGGCTCTATATTAAGCCTGACTTGTTGAATTTCAGGATTTCTTTGAGGACGTTGCACCACTACTTAGCTTGCAATTAGGTGGTTCAACAATGGATGGGATCACACAAATTTTCAATTCATATGTAAACTTGCTTATAAGTGCTTTACCTGGTTCCATGGATGATGAAGCTAACTTAGATGGTTTAGGTCATAAGATTGTTAGAATGGCAGAGACTGAAGAGCAGCAGTTAGCTTTATTAGCTAATGCATCTTTACTAGCTGAGGAGTTGCTACCTAGAGCAGCTATGAAGTTATCGTCAATAAACCAGTCTATGGATGATTTGCGTAAAAAAGGAACAGATAAACAAAACCGTGTGCCTGAGCAACGTGAATGGAAAAGGAAACTACAACGAATGGTGGACAGGTTGAGAGATAGTTTTTGCAGGCAGCATGCTCTTGAACTTATATTTACAGATGAAGGTGATACTCATCTCAGCGCAGAAATGTATATCAGCATGGATAACACTGTTGAAGAACCAGAGTGGGTTCCATCTCCAATTTTCCAGGTACTTACTGGAATGGCTCGTTTGGGTCTTCCTCATGTAAATACCTGAGATTTTAGATAATTTTCAGATTATTAACATATGCTATTGTACTTCTAATTCCCTTTCCAAACTAATGTCTCAGTCTATAAGATACCAACTTTGAGACCATTGTACATCTTTTCATTCTATTGCTTGGATCAAATCCTTTATGTATTATAACCAGTCATTTTATCATGATCATATACCTTAAAGAGGACATTAGGGACTAAATTAATTGAGCATATGGACAAAAGTTAATGCTTTTGGGAACCATGGTGTGTAAGTCACTAGAATGGATGGGTTTCATGTAGAATTCTGAAAGAGAAGCCTATATTACCCACCTTAATTTTGACAATTCTTCTAGTTGAGCCCTGGAATATATTATAAAAATCATATTAGCACAATTTTAATAGCCCAAGGTTGCACTATCAAAATTTGACTGGCATAGTCACACACATACACACACAAAAAGGTAAAAAAGGGTCATATGAACTTACCACTTTGATAAATAGGCCTTCTCTATTGCTGATATCCTTCATATTGCATGTAATTTGTTAAGATAGCAGGTTTCATGGTGAAGATTCTTTTGTCAAATTGAGTTGTTTTTCTTTCCATGGGGCAAGCGCATCATAGATAATACTATAGTCTTTGGATGAATATCATCTGCTGTTTATTGCAGGAACTGTATGCAAAGTTAAACAGGATGGCAAGCATTGCTGCAGAAATGTTTGTTGGTAGAGAAAGATTTGCTACTTTACTAATGATGCGCCTCACTGAGACGGTCATACTGTGGCTCTCAGAGGACCAGGCCTTTTGGGAAGAGATTGAACAGGGAGCAAAGCCTTTAGGCCCCCTAGGTCTGCAACAGGTAAGCTCCTTTGCTCCTTTTTTATTTTCTTTACATCGCCAACTGTTATTTTTCAAATTTTCCATTCTTTGCAGTTCTATCTGGACATGCAATTTGTCATCATATTTGGGCAAGGTCGTTTTCTCTCTAGACATGTACATCAAGTCATTTTGGATGTCATTGATAGAGCAATGGCTGCATTTTCTGCTACTGGAATGAACCCTGATAGGTACAATGCTTCTCATTTTGCACTTCTTTTGGTTCAGAATTAAATGCTGATTCTTTTATTTGCATACTTCAAATTTTTTTTTTGCTAATTTTCGTTATGTAACTTTGTTGTATTTTGCCTTGTATAATTTGGATTACACCAATGTTCCTCCCTCTAGAAAACAAGTAAGAGGATGAAGAATAAGTTATAACTTGGATTATATGTCCCTGTAGCCTGCTGCCCCCTGCAGCCTACAGTAATTGCAACTGGCAGCCAATAGTAACTTTAACAAATTGCCCTACTGGGATGGTTGACTTTTGAGAAAAATGGCAATTAGAGAAGACTTTGAATTATTCAAATAGTTTTCAGAAAATGAAAAAGAATGTACGAAGCATTTTCTCTTAAGCTTCAGCTAACTGATACCAAACACAGTATGTCATCTACCTTTCGAGTTCATTGTTAGCTGCTGCATGGTTTTTAAGGTGGTAAGGCGAGGCATGGCGACATACCCATAACGCCTAGGGGCCTTCATAAAGGCGAGGTGAGGCGATGCCTTACCATCCTAGGAAATAGGAAAATAACAGCAGGGAGGAAAGAAAAAAGAAATAGAAAAACCGGAAAAGGGCGAATGAAAAGAGAAGTGTTTGGCTGAGCTTGCCCACGAGGTCCCTTCCATTCATATCCCTTCTCAGGTCACAGAGACAGGGATGCACGCTCCCATGTCCACGGCATGCCGCCTGGGCCTGGCTCTCTGCTTCTCTCTCATGTAGGTGCAGCGCCGCTGCATCTCCCTCCCTCACGCTGCTCTCACTCGCGCGCAGGCAGTCTGCCCTCTGCTGATTTGTGGCTCTGCCCCTTCCCTCTCTCTTGCTGCTGCTCCCTCAGATCGATTTCTGTCGTGTCCCCCTTCTGGATCAGCCGCCGCCGCTGCAGATGATGCAGGTGGTGCTGCGCTCTGGCCGTCGGCGCCCAATTTGGTGGGGATGAGAGGGGAGGTGGCTCAATGGTCATTCTGGCTGGTTATGTATCGTTTTCCTCTGTTTCACCTCCAGTCTCTTTGGATCTCTCACTACTTTTGGCTAGGCGACGGGACACCTTACTCCCTGCTAGTGCCTCATCGCCTAGGCGTCCTGTTAGAGTGCACAGTGGAATCCGGCCCGACTCGCTATATCCACGAGCCGGCGCCTCTCGGGCCCAGGTCCATCGGAGCCCACAACATACCCAAGGCCTTAGGCCTAACTCAACCCAAAAAACTAGCCTGATAGGTGAGGACTGCCCCCGCCTTATATGTTGTGCTCCCCCGCATCAATTACCGATGTGGGACTAAACAATCTCCCCCGTCGCATAGGTGAGGACTGCCCCCGCCTTATATGTTGTGCTCCCCCGCACTTAACAATCTCCCCCATCACACATCGGGCCCAACTCTTCACATCACACAACCCCGTGTGATCTTCGGAATTCGTTATCCAGGCCCTGAGTCCAATGCTCCAATAGCACACACAACCCGTGTGACCTCTGAGACATTAACGGGCTCCCGCGTCACCATGTGACACCCAAGATTTTCTAGGTTTTCCTACCATGGGCTCTGATACTACTTGTTAGAGTGCACAGCGGAATCCGGCCCAACTCGCTATATCCACGAGCCGGCGCCTCTCGAGCCCAGGTCCACCGGAGCCCACAATATACCCAGGCCTTAGGCCTAACTCAACCCAAAAGACTAGCTTGATAGGTGAGGACTGCCCTTGCCTTATATGTTGTGCTCCCCAGCATCAATTACCGATGTGGGACTAAACACGTCCGATGCCTTAGAAACACTAAGCTGCTGTACTTGAACACTAACAAGGCATCCTACCTACCCCTAGTCCAGTCATACTTCTGAAAAGTCTTGCAAGGATTCCCTCACATGTTTCTTGATACATGAGGCTGTGCCTCTGAGGTAGTTTCTAATAGATCTACAGCTGGGTTTCTCTCGCCCATGAGGCCATGAGGGAGTTTCTCACATATTTTTGCTTCTACTATCAACAGACCAACATTCTTGCTTTTTTGCAGTGTCCTTCCGGGCGACGATTGGTTCATGGATGTCTCCCAAGAAGTTGTCAGCATGATCAGTGGAAGGGGTAGAGCTGCCAATGGTGACAGGGAAGTAAACAGCCCAACGGCCTCAGTTTCAGCGCACTCCATGTCATCGTTCAAATCCCATGGCAGCTCCTAGTTTGCAAGCTGGTATTTTTTGTAGGCAGATCATTGTATAATAATCAATAGTATATTCTTTCAACCTATCCCTCCACTCATTTGTTTTTTTCTTCGTTCTTTTCTTTTTCAAAACTTTTTGTGGTAGTATTAGTATAGAGGGATAATTGTTTGACCTAGGAAAAGAAATCTTGAGTCATTTTGTTTTAGAGAACCGAGGCCTTCATGTGTTGCATGGCCGTATGGCATGAGGTCTGCACGTATCTGTATCATTCTTTCATCAGTTTTTACTTGCCAGTTTGGCACAGCACATTTCATGGATACAGGATTCTGCGCTTGAAGTTGTTTGAAAAGTTTTTCTTTTTTTGATCCTGTGTACAGTACGCCCATCCTGCCCTAACATTAGAGGATAGACAATTCTTTTCGATATTTATAAACATTGTCAGTACAGCATATGGCTTCTTATGCTCACTGAACTAGTTTGGCGGCTATTTGTCCACGTTTCATGAAAAATTCGATCATGACACGATTGATAGAAAGATATTGGGAACGTCTATCTAACAACCGGGTGATTACACCCGGGTTTTTTTTCCAAATGATTACTGTTCATCTTCCTCCTGTCTCCTGTTACAGCACAGATCACAAGTAACAAATCACAGATCATAAGTAGCAATTTTTTTCTACGAAAGGACAAATACAATTTAGGGGCTGGTGTCGGAGTTGGGGAAGAAGCTCGCCGGAGTTGGTTTCCGATATCCGGCGTTGGCGTGGCGGCGCAAGCGCGTGCGCCGGGGGACGGGCGGTTACGCTGCAAAAAAAAAAAAATTCGTGTGTGCCCAGGTGCTAAAACACCCGGGTGTTATATAGCTTTTCCGAAGATATTTAGAGTTTCTCCTATATTGTATTTTTTTTATACCAGCTCACTGGAGGGAACTGAAATACTGAATTCTCAAATCTTTTCTAGGTGTCGTATAAATTTTGTTGTATATGAATTGTGAAGTCGCTTATGCCCTACATTACTTATCAGGTTTTTTTAAAAAAACTTTGTTTCTGCAAATTGTTAAACCGAATCTTTTGAAAAGAAAAATGGAAGGAAAAGACAGTTGCGTCGTGGTGCCCTCACTAGTAATATAATGAGGGCAACACAGCGTCGCTGAGCTGTTCCTCCATGAAGGTGTTCTCCAGCGAGCTCCATAGGCTGCAGTTGTGTTCCAGCTGCAACTCTCTGTGCAAGAATTTTGAAGGTAAAGTATTTTCCTAACTCTGATTTCCTAGGAGCTAAAGCTAAAGCTAAAGCCGGATGTTCATATACTTGGCGCAGCATTATGCAAGGCTTGGAGGTACTCAGAGAGGGGGTGATACGGAGAATAGGAAGTGGACAGAATGTGGACATGTGGAAGGACCCTTGGTTACCAAGAGAACTGTCGAGGAGACCGATCACTCCGCGAGGAAGAAATATTTTGCAGAAGGTTGCAGAATTGATAGACCCAGGGACCGAGCAGTGGGATGACCAGCTGCTGCATCAAACCTTCTGGGAAGATGATATAAAGCTGATCAAATCGCTGCCTGTGCATACAGATATGAATGACATTGTGGGATGGCATTATGATAAAAAAAGGTGCGTTTTTCAGTCAAATCGGCTTACAAACTGCACCGAGAGACTGAGAGGAGAAAGCAGGAAAGGGCTGGGCCGGGTGCAGCAGAAAGTAGTGGTGGTCGAGATGATTTCTGGCAGAAGCTTTGGAGTATCGATTGCCCACAAAAAATTAAGCACTTCCTGTGGCGGCTTAGTCATAACACGCTTGCTGTGAGGAGGGTCCTAAAACGGCGTGGGATGCGAATAGATACTTCTTGCTGTATGTGCAGAAGGATGGACGAGGATGGTGGCCATCTCTTCCTCAAATGCAAGGAAGTCAAGGGAATATGGAGGGAATTAAACTTGGAGGAGATGCGGCAGGATTTAGCTGAAGCTAGTTCAGCAAAACACATGATGGAGAAAATTCTGAACCTTGATCAGAAAACACAGTTAACGATTGTGATGCTGCTGTGGCTCTGGTGGAATGAGAGGAATAAATGGAGGGAGGAAGGGCCTCGGAAAACCACGGGAGAGATCGCCTACCTGACGGCTTACCTGACGGACAGGTTTCAGAATCCTGTCTGTTGCCGGATTTTCGTCAGAAACAGCACTGGTCGAAACCGCAGTGTGGGACTTTCAAAGTGAACTCGGATGGAGCATTTGACCGAGAGACTGGATCGGGCGGTTGGGGATTTATTATATGTGATGACCAGGGGATGATGGTAAAGGCCGGCGCGGGAGGTGAAGCTTTCCTATAGAGTGCTTTTCATGCTGAATTACTGGGATGCATAGCAGGCCTGAAGGAGGCGGCGGCGAGGATGGGACTGTCCATTGTATGTCTGGAAACCGATGCAAGCATGGTGAAATCAGCGATTGAAGGCGACGAATACCAGCTGTCGGCACTGGGAGGAATTATTACTGAACTCAAACTCGTCCTGCTTTCGGAGTTTAGGTCCTGGAAGACGTGCTTCTGTCCTCGAGTCTGTAATAAAGCTGCTGATACGTTAGCAGCGTATGGGAGTAGAGAGTCTCGTGGTTCCCAATTTATGTGGGATGATGTGCCTCATTTCTTAGAGGCTTTGTTGATCAGCGATTCTGCTGAATCAGATGAGTAATGAATTCCGTATTTGATTTCAAAAAGAAGAAGTTCAAGGCACGGCCCCACGGCTCCACCCCCACCTGCGCTTCCCCAAGGACCACGTCTCCTTCGGCGCCTCGTGCTTGCGATGGCTAAAGTATTATTTTTTGCGTAGTATTATATATCTAGACCATAAGTGGTATTTATTTTTTGTTTGTTCTTTATTTGCATAGTATTATTTTATTTGTTGTTGGCACAGTAGGAAGTTTGGCATATCTTGACAAAATTAGATGGAGCAATAAACGATAAATGTAGAAGATATTTTCTAAAATTGAGTAATTAATTGATGCACCATTCCATGTTTTGTTATATCTTTTTTGAATTCCTTAATTAAAAAACATAAAATTTTCCCTTTTCAATTATATGCAAATTAGACCATGCACATGCCCTTTTTTCAACGTTCATAATAAGTTTCCACCATCGTCATAAATTTAGAGGCAATATACAGTTTTACCAAAAATACTTATGTTCACATGCCTTAATAATACAATTAAATATGTTCATTATTTGGCTACTCCTTAGTCGTACATGGACTTATATATCTATACATCAAACAAATATACATATATAGCATAGTAACATCACAATTTTACCTTTCTATACAGGCTTTCATTGTCAAAGAGTAAGTGTCAAGTAATTGAAACGCCAGCGATTGTTAATGAGTACACAAAACCATATTTGGAGAAATTGCAGAATGGTGTATGCTTTGGAATAGTCCATGATCATCAATTAAAGATTTGGATCCTCAATGAAGCATGTGGTCAGATGGAGTGGGTTCTGAAGTATGAAACTGTGGTTGGCCACTATGCTCAATGTTTAGCATCAATCGCTTCTTTTTATAGTGGTAGACAACACGATGGATCTTGGACTGTAGAAGAAAATATTGAAATCTAGGATACTGACTATGATGATGAATCTCTATCAGAAGAAAAAAATATTGAAATCCTGGATAGTGACTATGATGAATCTCTATTTGAAGAAGAAAATATTGAAATCCTGGATACTAACTATGACGATGAATCTCTATCAGAAGAAGAAAATATTGAAATCCAGGATACTGACACTGACGATGAATTTCTATCAGAAGAAGAAAATATTGAAATCAAGGAAACGGACTATGTTGATGAATCTCTATCAAAAGAAGAAAATATTGAAATCCAGGAAACTGACCATGATGCTGAATCTCTACCAGAAGAAGAAAATATTGAAATCCAGGATACTAACCATGGTGTTGAATCTCTATCAAAAGAGGGCTATGAGTGGGACTCTGACAATGATGATACTTTTACTATTAACACTGAAAGCCAAGAATACTTCGACAATGACCAGCATCTTAATATCATTGGATTCCATCCCTATAAGGAAGTTGTCTTTATTGTTCAACGATTTCAAGTTCTTGCCTACCATTTGAATAGCACCAAAATTCAGTATCTAGGCAACTCGCGCCCAAAATATTGCTATCATAGCTTTTGGAACCATATATATGAGTCATTCCTTTACACTCCATGCATGATTGGAGATCTGCTTCATGGAGACCAAACTGGTGGTCCGAGCTAGCTCACCTCAAGATTAATAGTAGTTTTAGTACAAGTCAGGCATTTGAACAAACGAGCAATTATAATGGTGTGCTGATGCTTTACTTTTCTTCTTATTTATTTATTGGGTTAACTATGTGTGCTACGAATCCTATATATATATATATATATATATATATATAGGGAGAGGCTATTCAGTAGCCAGCTACAGAATAAGTTATTCTGTAGCCACCTCCATTTACCATAATTTTATATACTAATTTACGATAATATCAATATATATTTACTATAGTTGGGTTACTATAACACACGGGGATATTTACCATAACGTTATAGTAAACCACTTAGTAAGGAGTTACTATAATCTCATAAATTAACATAGTAATTATCGTAACTCAAAGTGGCTACAGAATAAGTTATTTTGTAGCCAGCTACAGAGTAGTAGTTCTATATATATATATATATATATATATATATATATATATATATATATATATATATATATATGTGTATGCCTATTAGTATATTTAATTAATCGAGAGGTTCTTTTGCTTATTTGTCTATTCTCTTCCAGCATTATTTTTCATTTCAAATGTTTGTACTCCGTACATCAGAATCTCCAAACTGTACGTGTAGTCTTGCCTTGTATGGTTTATTTTAGAATAGTAGGAAAACAAAGCTGACTGTGAAATGCAGTATTCACCGGCATGATCACATGGAAGTTGCACTTTCGCAACCATGCATGTACCGAGGCTGGGACCATGAGGGTCAAAAGTTCTCAACATCTAGATGTCAAAAATAGAATGAAAAAAAAAAGAAAGAAAAACCTCTATGTACCGAGGCTGGGACCATGCATGTATCGAGGCATCACCTGGAAGCTACCCACGTGGTCATAAGCTTAGAACACAAATTAACCCCCTCACACAAGCATATTGTTGTTTTGTTAGCTGACATATATTTGCTTTTTCTCTATGTTTTGTTTTTTTACCTCTCGCGTTGATGTGTTTTACATCAAAAAGGTCATTTCGATTGCAAGCAACTTATAACTCTTATTATTATGTATTTGTGGCAGCATGCACTTGGCTTTATTTTAAATAAATGTAGTGGTGAGTAATAGAGATGCAGGAAGATGGGGTTTTGGTGTTACTTTTTGTGCAATGGTAGTTAATGACAGTTTACTTATCAATATATATGGACCTTTTGGTTTATTTTCACTAAATAAATATAATAGTTTCTAAACCTTGAGGCCAAACCTGGGGTTTCTTTTGGTTGCTAGTTATTACTCACTTGATTCCAAACTATGGTTCATTTTAGCTTTGTCGCAAGTCGAGCCTCTTTAACTTTGACCGAGTTTATATAAATATGATTCAACATATACAATCTTAAAATAGGTTCATTGAATTATCCATGAAAGACGATGCTTCAACGTATATATGCTTCATGTATTGGGATCGTTACTATTAGCGCCCTGTTTGTTTGGGCTCGTTTGGCTGATAAGCCATGGCTGAAAAGTACTGTTGGCTGATTTAGTGTGAGAGAAAAATGCTGTTCATTGACTGAAAAAGTATGACTTATAAGTCAAACAAGCCCAAGCGAACAGGTGTAGGACTTTAGAGATACTAGCTTCGAGCGTCTCCATGAACATTGCTTCTTTTGCATTAGGTCTATATTTTATTTCCTTTCAAATTCTTTATTCTACCCACAGCTCAAGTACATGAGATCCTCTTAATTTTTAGCATATTAAATTAATCTCAACCACAAATAATTTAGAAACTTTTCTTCTTACAACACGTAATGGCAGTGGCAGGTAATTTATCAACATATATAGGGTCATCTCTGTTTTAGGCGCTAAGAACAACTCCAAAAGAATAGTTAAAATTTATTTTCAAATTGCAAGATTTGGCTATTATGTAAAATAGAAAATCCAACAAAAAAAAGTAGAGTACTACAATAGGTATTTTTTCTTGCCCATATTTAAAATTGCCACATCTATCATGTTTCAATTTTTTTTAGCAAAATCTGTCATGTCTTTAACTCTATGGGGCGTTTGGTAGGGATTCTTGGACGGCTCCTGAAGCTGTTTCGTGGATTCATCTACCAAACGGGTCAAAAGCGAGGTGCTCCTCGAGCGAAGCTCCGAAAATCCCGCTGAGAGAGACCAATGGCGTAGGGTGAAGCTAAAAAAATACGACTTCTCCCCGCTCCTTCGGACAGCGCGCGGGCCCAGACACTTTTGCCCCGGTGCGGGCCGCGAGGCTGCGCGGGCACCACGACGGACTGCGAGGCGGAGCACGGGCCGGCACTGCGGTGGATGGCGTCCTGGCGGCGACGAAATCAGGGAGGCGAGGTGGATGCGGGCCGCGTGTGCCGCGCGGGCGTGTTGGGGGAGGAGCAGGGCCGGCGGGGCTGGAGGCCTGGTGCGGGTGGGGAGGAGGAAGGGGGCAGCGGACCTCGGGCGACCGTCGCTGGAGCCGTGGAGGAACATCTCGGTGGCTGCGGAAGCGAAGACGAAGAAGACTGCGTGCGTCGGTGCGTGTGGTGAAGGATAGATAAGGAGGAGAGAGAAAAGAAAAAGAATAAAATAATTGAGTAAAAAATGAGAAATAGTCAGAGATAAGGGAGAAGAAAATAAAATAAAGGAAAGAGAGCAAAATAAAATAAAGGGAAATAGAAAAGAAAAAAAGAAAAGGGTATCATCGTCATTTCATCCTTTTATCTGTCATGTTTAACCGAATGGTTCAAAAAAGTGCTTCAGCTCCTCCAGTGAATCTGCTTCTCAGGCGAATCCACGACTCAAGCTGTTTTAACCGGAGCCGGAGCTCTACCAAACAGGCCCTATATATTCATTGTCGGCTCCTCGGCCAGAAACCATGTCCACGTCGCCCGAAATAGCCACAGCCATCCAATCTTCCATCGTGTGGTCCCTGTTGCTTGTATCCACTTCGGTAGAATATGCTTCTTGCAGCTCCTTGTCGCTCTCGATGGATTCTGCCAGCTTCTGCTCCTTTTCATTCGAATCCGGTTGCGCAAATATATACTCCGGCTTCTGCTTCTCCTTCAGGAAACTTCTCTCCCCCTCGTCTCTTTCTCGTCTTCGCTCGCTCGCTCCCTCCCCTCCCGGACGACCGGACGGCGGCGCGAGGCGAGCTCGGCGGTGGCCAGCCTCCTCCTCCTCCACACCCCTCCCTCCTCGTGCCGCAAGGGTGGGGCGACGGCGGCTCCCGCTGGGTGCTGCGCCGGTGCAGCGGGTCGCCGTCCCCGGCCGCCGGGGCTCCAACAGCCGCTGTCCCCAGCCACGACGCGGCCTACCAGGCCCTGTGGGTGCTCGCTGGCGCGGATCCGCCCCCCCTCCCCGATGCGACATCATCTCTCCTGTGCTCCATGAAATGGAGGCAGTCCCAGCCACAGGCGCCCTCCCCCTCCCAGCGCGGTGACCACGGACCCTGCATGCCTTCCTGGCGATGCACGGTGGGGTTGCGGTTGATGGAGGTATGCTGGTACAATTCATTTTTCTCTTTTGTGTTGCACCACGTTACTAATGCTGCGTACAGCTTTGGAGCTTCAAGTCAATCATCCCCAATGTTAATTGGGTTTACTTATTTTATTTGGCTTGGCAGGCAGCAGTTAATTTGTTAAGTTTTGACTCAATGAAACCGTATGCTATATGGTCCTCTATATCTTAGTTCTGGTTCCACCATCTTCCTATTGCAAGAATTTGTTTTTACCATGCGAAGGCCATCATGAGGTTTGTTTGTTGCCTCATCCTTAATAAGCTTTCATGTCTTTCAATGTTGGACCACAAATCTTACTATTTGTGTTCACACAGAGACGCTTCTTGGAATGCCTCTCCCTGTGCTTTGCTTCTTTGCCATAACATTTGTGCAGGCCCCCGTAGTGTTGTTCGCATGCAACCGGCATTATTTTTGCAGTGAGGTTATTCTTGTGCTGACCTGCAGGTACCTATTTTCATGTGGTCTGAGGGTTGTTTCAGTTTTAAGCAAGATATTTAACAAAAAAAAAAAAATCATTGACAGCAACTGACTGCCTACAGCCAAACTTTTGTGATTCTTTTAATTTTAACACTTTTTGAAAACTAATTTTAAATCTAACACCTCCGATTTTTTTAAAACTAACACTTTTGGCCGCGCCTATTTCCCTAGCGTGGTCAAATGCCTGTGCCGCGTCATGCATGGTGGCGCGCGCAGACGCAGGGTGACGTATGGCGACGACAGAACACCGATCACGACGGATAGGCCTGCCTGCAGCACCATCTTCTTAGCGGCATGCGATGCCCAGCCGAAGGTCATGGCGCGTCTCGGCCAAATAAAACCCAGCGGCCGAGCCCCCGTCACACGCGCTTCTGCTCGCCCACGCACGCCGCCACCAGCCGACCCGCCCGCCGCCGACATCGCCCGCCTCACGACCTCCTCGGCGGCCAAGCCCGACCACTCCTGGCCGCCTTGCCTTGCTCAGCCCTTGCGAAGACTCCAGCGCCCGCGCGCGCACCTAACCCCAGCGCATCAAGGCCGCCCGCTCCTAAGGTACCTTCCTCTCGGTTTAATGTTATTATGATTATTATTGTTTTAGGATAATTAGTCTGTGATATACATATGTAGTTTTTAGGTTTTAGGTTAGGATTTTGGGTTTAGTGATTGATTAGTTATTTATTATTTAGCTTGTAGTTATTTATTTAGTTAGGGATTGTAGCGATGCGGTTGTCACTGCTAGATCCGGTTATTATTTAGTTTATAGTTAGTTATTTAGTTAGGGATTGTAGCGAGCCGGTCGAGGAATCGTATTCCATTCGAACGTTTCGATCGTGGGTTCATCCCGCCGTGGCCGTAACGCTGAGCGTAACTGGCTCCCTCGCTTCTTGGTTGGCTTTGTCGTACTATGATCTCTAGCCTCTATCCACGTCCCTAGCACATGACCATCGGGCTTTACCTCTTTTACGCGCTTGTTTATCCTAGTCTTGTGCCGATTTATTTTTGGGTTAGAGTAAATATTTTACTCTGCAATGCT